CATGACCAGGGAGATGCTGCAATGGTCATAACTGTGAAAAATGGTCATAAGTCACTTTTTTCAGTGCCATTGTAACTTTGAACAGTCACTAAATGAAACTGTTGTAAGTCAAAGACTACCTGTACATGGTACAAGACCCCTGTTGTCTTTTGTACCTGTTTGCCCTTTCACAATTTGCTTATTTTCTGCATATGTTATAAGCCATTGTTTCTTGTTGCCATGTATCATATGTGTTTGAAGACAATTTGGGTGGGGGAGGCATAACTTTAGGACCGAGAAGTTTTAAGGATGATGTCATGCATTGTCCTAAATATTTATCCTCATATTTTTAGGTCATTTTCCAAACAAGGCCATGCCTTCGGCTGGAACATTGCCCTGGGTTCAGGGGATTATCTGTAATGCCAACAATCCTTGCTTTCGTTCCCCGACACCTGGGGAGACACCCCGCATTGTTGGCAATTTTAACGAATCTATGTGAGTATTTGCTATTTATTAAACTTTGGCCTGCCAATGTGAAGAAGACAAAACAACAACGCCTTATCAAGGGTACAGGCTGTTCTTTGCTGTACTCCAGGGAAGCTGTTGTCCTTTAGCACAAATGAGGAGCAAAAAGGGGGCGGTTATTGGGGGTAGAGTGAATATTATAAATAAGGAAAATGTAATGCCAGACAAATTTTCTACGCTGAAAGAAAGCAAGTTGCTTAGAACATCCTTAGCGTGCCTCTACTGCTGAGCGCTACCAAGAAATTTTGGGGCTTATGTTATCCTTTGAATGGGGGGAGAGAGTTGTTTATTGTTTGTCAGGCCCTCTAGGTAGCTCAGATCAGGAAACAGCTAATTTGCTCTCATGATTAAGGCACCTGGCTAGAAAGTGGAAAACCATGAGTTCAAATGCCGCCTTCGCCATGAAAGTCAGTTGGGTGACTTTGGGCCAGTTGTTATTAGTATTCACAAAATTTATTAAATCAAATCAAATCAAACTCACTTTGCAGGGTGGCAGTTGTGGAAAAAATAGGAGAAAGAAGGTCTGGGGAATATGTCCACCGTCTTGAATTATTTGTAAAAATAATAAAGGTGGGGCAAAATTAATTAATGCTGCAGGAAGGCCAGGACTGTCTTTATTGAGATTGACTGGTATAATAACCATCTTGCAAGTCTGTACTGAAGTGAATTAGGAAGCCATCTGTCTGAGTCATGTCTGAATGTTACCTCATTGTTCTAAGAAATGCTTCAGCCCCTTGTGCTTAAATGATGCTGGCTGTATATTTCCAATAAGGTTATCGTCCTTATTCTCTATCCCATAAGCTTGGTGGATATGCATTGCTTAATCTGAAAGAGTTCAAAGAAGTTTTCTACCCTGATAGTCATCCTGCAAATTCTTGTTTGTAACTTCAGGAAAGCTATTCCTACTCTACTCTACTTCATTGCTGATCCTGGAGATAAGACATGCTGCTTTTCTCCTCTTAAGAAACTGAGGGAATGGCTGTGTTTGCCTGACAGGCTGCTGAACCACCCACTAGCCAATCATATCTCCACCTTGTTTGCTTTGCAAACTAAGCCAGTTCAATTAATAGATGTCTCCACGTGCTCAGAAACAACACTTAGAAGCAATTTATAAACAAGTGCTTATGGGAATATGATCGTGTTGACTTAGCAGAATAGCGCCCAATAATGTCAGACACAAAGTAAATGTGGATAAAGAAATATTTTAGGATCCTTTGGGGGGATATTTGAGGCTGTCTCTCTCATGATGACTAATAGTTTTTCTCTTTTTCTTTCTTTTCTATTGCTCTTCCCCTCATTTCTTCAGTGTTTACCGATTGTTCAATGATGCCAAACGTTTGCTATCCTTTAGCCAGGACAGCAGCATCAAGGATATACCTCAAGTGTTGACAAAAGTGCTGAAATTTGGGAAATTTGCCTCAGGTAAGTGAACCGAAAAAGGAATATGGTGCATTTTGCAGAGATTCTTGTCCATAATCAGTGGCAGCTTTTGGCAGATGTGTGGACTCCAATTTCCATAATTCCCCAGCTGGCATTTTTCCAAGCTGGAAAAAGCTTTAGAATGGAATTGGGGCTGTATGAGAACTAGGGGCTACTATCCAAGCCAAATTTTAAGCAGGAACATCTCTGTTGCACTCTTGCAAATCTTTTTGGGGGGAGGACGCATACAAAGTTCTGGCAGGGAAATCACTTCCCACCCTTTTACTGATACTTTGCTCTGAAATGATCCCAAACATACTTGCTTGTGCGTTGTCCCCATGAAAATCAATGGAGCTTCCTTGTAATAAAATTAGGATGTGTACCATCCTAATGGCACATATGAAATATGTCATTATAGCTCTTTTGCATTTTTCCCCTTTGAAATGTACTTTGCGTATTCCTGCCTATATCCCATAATAGTTGGGGGGGGAGGTTGAGTGTGTGGTGCATACCTGTGAGTGTCTGTGGCTAATTTTTCTAGTATAAGAACAATAAGGGGGGGGGAATTCACAAAAGAGAGATAGATGAGGAAGAAAAACATCTCTTTTACCAGCTGGTGACTCATTTAATTGTATGCATTTGATCGCCACCTCTTCCCTTCTATTGCAAACATCTGGGCAGAACATTTTGCTGCTTTCATTACATCTAGTTCGTTCCTCTCTTCACCTCTCCAGCCCCTCTTTTCTCTAGTGTAAGAATTCAGAAGCAATCAGGAAACCCAGGAGGGAAGTGAAACGCATTTGAAAGTATGTGGAAGTATTTGGAATACTGTGCTTAGTTCTGGAGACCTCACTTGAAAAAAAAAAGATTAATAAAATCAAGCGAGTCCAGAGATGAGCAACAAAAATAGTACAAGGCAGTAAAGGTTTTCTCTTACCTTTGCTACCGGTTTGGAACTGGGAGCGTGTGCGTGTATGACATCTGGGAGGGTGGGTGGAGCCTCCCGCCACTGCTACTGGTCCGCTTGAACCGGGGCGAACTGGCAGAATATCACCTCTGGTACAAGGTCTGAGGGACAAATTCGTTAGGAGAGATTGGAGAAACTGAATAGGTACAGCCTGAAGGATAGAAGGGAAAGAGTGGACATGATTGAAACCTTTAAATATAAGGATGGATAAGGTTCTAGGGCAGTATTTTCAACATTAAGTGAAAATCAAGAACAAAGAGGCATAAACTCAAATTGACAGGAGGAAAGTTTAAAAGTAATGCTAAAAAGTAATTCTTCCCAGAAAGGGTATTAGAAACTTGGAATCAACAACCAGGGGAAGTAGAGGGTCAATCATCAGTAACTTGAGTTTAAACATGCTTGGGATAAACACATGACCATCATACAACAAAATTTTAAAAAAATTAACTCAAAGGACAGACTCAATGGACCACTAGGTCTTTTTCTGCTGTCAGTTTTCTTTGTTTCTATGAAATGAAAATCACTTCTAGGAACCTGCTTCTGCATTTGGACAAATAAATCTTTTCTATCAAAAACTGAGTTTCCCCCACTGCTTCTCACTTTTTCCCAAATTTTAAATTAAGAGTAATGTTTCTGTAGTATGACAACACAATCCTGAGGCAGCACAAAGAAAATGTATCTGAGAAATTATAACAAGAGAGCCAATGCTGCATGTGTTTGCAGAGAGCTTTAGAGAGGTAAGGCCAAAAGAAAGCAAATTCTTGGGCCTCCAATTTTCTTACAACACCTCATTCAAAGAGTGATTGGAAAGGAGCAAGGCATTTCTTTAAGTATGTGTTGCACATTAAACCTGGGGATGGGGTTTATTAGGAGGACTCTACACTTGCCCTGAGTCAGGGGCTTCGAGAAAAAGGTACCCCTTGACGCTGATTTTATTCGGCCAATATTACTCTGTGTTCATCTTAAAGCCACTTTATAGTGCATATGTTGCAGCCTTGTCTATTTTGCAGCATTCCCGTTTCTTTTGCCAAGTCCCAAGGAGAGGCTTTTGCTGGTTGAGTGAGTGAGTGAGAAGGAGGCAGTAAGTAAATCATCGTGATGGTTTTCAGAGTGGAAGTAAAAGGGACTTCAAATTCTGTTTTATCACTTCAAGGGCTGGCACTCTACAAATGATGGGTGTGCAAGCAGCATTTTGAAAGCATGAGGATGTTGCGTCTGACTAACAGGAATGGGTGTGTTTGCGTAAAAAGGGAGGCTGTGTGAAAGATGCATTGCAGGGGGAGGGTGGGGAGAGCTTCTCCAATTGAACTGTCTTTCCCAGAAAGATTGTAGAAAGCCTTCATTGAGTTGGGCAAATGGCAAAATTAAGATAATAAATAACATTGGAAAGCTGCATATTACATTTCTGTTGTCTTAGGTGCTTTATAACAATAGTGTCAGTGATATTTATTATAACCTTCTGTGCCAATGCTCCAGGGAGAGAGGCAGAAATAAGGCTGGGAAATCATGACGTATCTCAGGCTATTTAATGGGCTTTTAGTCAAAGCAAATTACGCACTCCGATTTCTCAGTGCTTTCTTTTAACTGTTGCTATTCTCCTAAGAAAAGAGTTAAACACAATGCACCTCATAAGCTCAAAGTGACTTTTTCTGACACTAATCCTGTAAAATATATGCTGACAAGTTATTTGGAGAAATCTGTCTATCTTTAATAAGGTAAAGTAATTTATCATTTGACATGCCTATTATTTGACAGGCTCCATACTGTGGGTGTGAGTTATGGTGGACAAAAGTGTGTTTGTCCCTTTAAGTGACACTTAAATTCTTTCCAGAAAAATGGGTGAGGGGCTCTTACAGCAGTGGCCAACAATTTCTGGGCTCCATCTCTGGCAAATTAAAGTGTGCGCGGGCACACAGAGTACCACTTGGCAGTAATGAAAAGTATCTTTCAGGATTAGCTAGCCAAATGCTGAAGAGCACAAAGGAAGTCTTGAAAATTCTCATGGTGTTTCTGTTTCCTTGCGTGGAATGGTAAAGAATGCTAATCCTTTCACTAAGTTTGGTGGGCTGTTGGTAAGGAGATCCTCAAAAGGGAAAGACTGTCTGGGAGCCCAAAAGGGTTGGAATTTCTGAGACTAGATGGAAACATGTTTTTAAGGGGAAGAAAAAGAAACAGAACATAGAATAACAGGGACTATTGGCAAAAAGGAAGAACTGTTTGCTTGAAGTAAAGACAGTTGATATGACAATTAGAATGCAATTTCCCTATGCTTTATTTCTCAGGGAAAAAAACCCCAATTCTTTTTTTAAAAGTTTTTTTAAAAATATTTTTTATAAAAATGTCACATCAATGCGTGAACAGTGTGGCATCTGGACACCATGCAGTCCAACACAAACAAAACTGATCAAATTAAGAATTATTATCATATTCAATCAATTTATGAAGTTCTCATTATAATACATATCTATATTAGGTTGCAATCTATCATTATTCAATTAGTCCACCTATTTCTCATTATTACTTCCATTTTATCAACTAAAAGTGCAATACATTAATATTTCCTTTATTTCCATCTCTTACTCTAGCTTTTAATCATATCACCCTCTATTCAAAAGCTTTTTCCTTTCTTTCCTGTCTGACTTCTAATCATATCATCTGCCTACAAGAAAAGAGAAAGAGAATAGAGAGGGAGAGGGAGGGAAAGACAATTCAAAACAGCAACCAGGAGCAGGAATCATCCTTCCATCATCTCTTGCCCACTTTATATTTTAATTGTTAAGCTTTTAAAAAAGGGGGGTGAAAAAGCAAGTCAAAGCAGCCATAAAGAAAAAGAAATCCTCTATCCATCATCTCTTGCCTGCTTCGATACTTCAGTTGCTATGCTTTTTTATATAGCTAAAAACAACCCAATGCTTAAAGAGAGCCCTCAGATCTTTGTTGATTAACTTTTCTTGCAATAGCAGTCTGCCTCCCTCCTTCCTCCTTTCACTGCCTTGTTGGTAAAGAACTTCCTTCAATTGTACTAGGAAATTTTAGAGCAATTCCTTACCACTAAAATTGTTGATGTACGTCTGATTCAATTTTTTGTATGAATATTCATCATCTTGTGCTCTGAAAGGACAGGACCTAGATAGGATGAAATTTTGGTGTACCATCATGTTGCTCCCCAAACATTTTTCTTTCATCCACTATAAAGTTGGCTTGAATGAATTGTTTTTATAATACAGGGAATTTTGCTAACCCCTGCGTGAAATTGAGATATATTTTCTTTTGCTTTAGAGAAGAAATGTCTATGCCTCTTACAGCAGACTAAAGTCTTCTCCATTGTTCCCCACTGGATAACCTTCCCAAGTTTAGTAAACTCCTGATATGGCCATTTTTTAAAATTCCCAGTCACAGGAAAATGATAGGAGTTATGCTTCTGATGCATCTGTGGAGTACCAGGTTGAAAGAAGTTATTGTGATCTTCCAATGAATATTTCAATTCTTCATGCAATTGGTTTTCCCCCCATTAAACTAATTTTTTTTAACCACCCTTATTTTCTGCCCCAAAATATGTAATTTAAGAAAGACTTGGATGAGGTTGTCAGTACAGCTCTAATTTAAACTTAAAAAACATTTACTTCTCCATTATCCTAGGAAAATAGGTAATGTATGATCCAAATTGGTGCTCAAGGTTGTTTTCACACATGGATGGAGTTCTAATCTTACTTCAAAAGTGTTCTCTTTTAATATTGTCACCATTGAATAGGTGAGTTGATTTATTTCTAGTTCAGGAGGAATTTCAAAATTTCTGTTTTGAAAATAAGAATCTAGAACTCTATGTTGTTCTTGGCTGTTTTTTCTATTATCAGCCAATGCCTGCTTCTTTTCCCTTTGACTGTTTGACTTAAAGTAAACTACTGCCTTCATTTCTGCAGGGCAGGTATAATTGGTCAGTACCACTTATTGTTACTGTGTTTCCCCAAAAATAAAACAGGGTCTTATTTTCTTTTGACCCCTGAAATAAGCACTTGGCCTTATTTTTGGGGAGGTC